TTTGGAAGTACCGGTCATTCACAACTATGTTCTTGCTATGTCATTTGACAGCTGACAGTTTTAGCTTCATTCTAAAAATAAATTGATTTGGTTGAGTTTTGGAGATTTTAAAATAAGTTGAAGTTGGGAAACCAAACTGCATGCTCACCATATTTTACCATTTTACTTCTGTACATGGAAGAGTGCCTGTCAAGCTTGTTCGAGAAGTTGCGTAGCTTACGGTGACAATGCTCTACAAGAATATCAGTGGCCAACGATGGTTCTTGAATTTCTGTGCTGATGATTTTGATCTCAATATTCCTTGGTCAAGGAAGCCCAAGGTTGACAAAATAAAGGCATTGATGGAGTCAAACCCACATTACAGAAACACTGAACATCCATCATTCAAGTGTTCACAACTACCTGAAGCCGATATGTAAGCAAGCTCGATATTTGGGTTCCTCAGGAACTCAAAGTTCATTGGATGGCACGTATAAACATATGCGACATCCTCATTAAATGTGAGGAAAATGATCCTTTTTTGAAGCGACTGATAACTGGTGATGAGAAGTGGATTGTTTACAACAATGTGGGGCATGGTCTGGCATGGTCTTGGTCCCAATGTGCTGATGTGCCACAAAGAACATCGAAAGCAGACATTCATTAGTGGAAGGTTACGCTCTCAGTGTGGTGGGATTTTAAAGTTGTCTTTTTGAGCTCCTACAAAGAACCCAACAAGCAATTCGAAAGTGTACTGTTGGCAACTGCAGCACCTGAACAAATCCATCATCCAGAATTGTCCAGAAGTTGATCATAAAGGAGTTGTGTCCCATCATGACATGAGACCACACACAAGTTTGATAACCCATAAAAAATTACTGGAGCTTGGATGGGATGTTGCCACACCTACACTTCCACTTGTTTCTCTTCAAAACTCCTTGTATGGTGGGGCCAGCAGGTGGCATGGTGGTTAAGGGCACTGGACGCCCACTACTGGGCGGTTCAGGTCTCAGATCTGACAGCTTGCTTTCTCACTTTCCCTCTCCCTCTGTCCCTCTCTGGTCAAATTAAAATGAATAAATAAAGGAAGTAGAATAACTCTCTAAAAAAAACTCCTTGGGAACCAGCAGTTAGCATAATGGCTATGTCACTGGACTCCCACATAGTCGACCGTGGTTCGCGTCCCGGACCCGGGGGCTTAAAATTCACGCCGGGCGCGTGTGTGTACGTGCCCGAGATCCAAAGAGGAGAATGGAGAAGGGATTGCGGCGTGACCATCCCCCAGGGGAGGTGATTTCTCGCTTTCTGTCTCTATGTCTCTGTCTGTCTGTCTGGCGAGCCCACGCGCCCTATAACGAAAAACCTCTCCAAAAAAACAAAAAAACTCCTTGTATGGTATAATGTTTAATTAAGATGAAGCTGTAAATCAGCACCTTGTTCAGTTCTTTGCCAATAAAGCCAGGTCTATAAAGAAGTTAAAAAGCTCACTGAAAGATGGCAAGAGGTTATGGAACAAAACAGGCAAAATATATTCATCTTTGTATAAATGACCTCTGAAAAAAAGTCATGACTCTTCTGACAACACAATATTTTGATATATTATCTTTCCATTAAGAGATGTGTCTTCGGGACCAGCAGTTAGTGTAATGGCTATGTAGCTATACTCCCACGTAGTCGACTACTGTTCAAGTCCCGGACCTGGTAGCTTAAAACTCATGCTGGGTGCGTGTGCATGCATGCCCGTACGCCCAAGATCCTGAGAGGAGAATGGAGAAGGGATCGTGGTGTGGCCATCCCCCCTGGGGGGTGATTTCTCTTTCTGTCTGTCTGGTGAGCACACGCACCCTACAGCAAAAACCTCTCCAAAAAAAACCAAACAGAGATGCATCTTTGGGGAGCCAGCAGGAGGCAAAGTGGTTACAGGTGCTGGATTACCATATGGTTGGTCATGGTTGAGTCCCAGTTCTGGTGGCTCGTTCTCTCTTTCAATCCCTCTCTGGTAAAATTAGAAACCAAATAATGATAATGATAATGATAAGAAATGAAGTGGGGCTGGCAGGTGGCATGGCGGTTAAGAGCGCTGGAATCCCACGTGGCTGACCCGTGGTTCGAATTCCGGACCTGGTGGCTTGCTTTCTCGTTCTTTGTCCCTCCCTGGTCAAATTAAAATAAATGAATAAAAGAAGTTATTATTTTAAAAAATAAATACTATATACAGTAAAAACAAAATAAATGAAGTGAAATAAATGAAAAACACAACAAAAAAAAACCACACAAAAAACGAGATGTATCTTTGGGACCAGCAGGTGTGATGGCTATGGCCCCGGACTCCCACATACAGCCCAGACCAGAGGCTTGAGGAGCAAGCTGAGTGTGTATGTCCAAAATCACAGGAGAATGGGGATTGCAATGTGGCCATCCCCCTAGGGGGTGATTTCTCACTTTCTCACAGTTTCTCTCTGGTGAGTGCACATGCCCTATGGCAGACCCTAAGAAAACAAAAGATCCATCTTTAAGTTTTGCTATAGGGCATGTGTGCTCATCGGAGACCAAGAAATCACTCCTAGGCGAAGATGGCCCCATTATAATTCCCTTTCCTTCAATCTCTTTTCAGGATTTTGGGGCTGCATGCAGACACCACCCAGCCAGCTGGGTCTGACCTAGTCGTCTATTGGCAAATCCTGTCATTTGGGATTTAGCCACTTTATCCTCCACACCAACTTTTGGCCCCAAAAGATGCATTTCCAGGGGCAGTTAGAACCTGCAAGGCTAGTGGTCACATAGCTGACGGATTTCCATCCATGTTGACCTGAAAACATGACTGGGGGCACCAAGGATTCTGAGGAGCTAGAGGGCAGAAGAGTAATGTGGTATGCTAAGATCCTGTGGTTTGCTTCTACCTCTGGCACGCACACGTTACCCACCCTCCCCATGCATTTTCACATAGTTTTGAGTTATGCCCTTTCCCCCTCACTTGATCTCTTACCTACTGAAAACCTTAATTACTGCTGAGTCTATTCGTCAGACTCTAGCCAGATTATCTACTACAAAACCTTTAAACCAAACCCTTACCACTTTAATAATGCTCTATGTAATCACATAACTTCATTAGAAAAACAAAACACCTCCATGCTATGACACACTAAGAATGTAATCTTGGGACCAGCAAGTAGCATGGTGGTTAAGGCGCTGGACACGCCCACATGGCTGACAGTGGTTCAAGTTCTGGATCTGGTGGCCTGCTTTCTCACTTTCCCTCTCTCTCTGTGTCTCTTTATGGTCAAATTAAAATAAATGAATAAATAAAATTAGGGTTTTTTTTTTTTTTATAAGTTTTTGCTAAAGGGTGGGTGCACTTGACAGATAGACAGAAAGCAAGAAATCACCTCCCGGGGGGATGGCCCTGCCACAATCCCTTCTCCTCCATGCTCCTCTCACTATCTTGGGCACGCAAGCACACAAGCCCAGAGAGTTTTAAGCTTCCTGGTCTGGGACTCGAACCGCAGCTGACTACATGAAAGTCCAGTGACATAGCCATCACGCTAAATGCTGGTCCCATAAAATTACTCTTCGAAAAAAAAATGTAATCTCACCCTCCCCACTCTAGGTTACATATTGAACACCAATGAATAGTACCATACCTAAGAATGTAGGTTGGTGGGAGTTTGGGAAGAGGGGCTATATTTAGTTATCTTGTCAGGTACATGATGTCTACATACTGACCTGCTATGTGCTGGGAACTACTCTAGAGGCATAATCTGTTCTTTGCATATACTTCAATTTCATTTTGCATTTGAATCACAATACCTAGCCTAGTATTTTTTCTTTTGGCCATACGGTGTATATACTTACTGGAGACAAAGAGGTTAAGTGAAAAATAACACTCTAAGGGAGGGCCATACTGCAGTCCCTTCTCCTTTATTCTCCTCTCAGCATTTTCCCAGGGTGTTTTTTCAAGCTGCTGAGTCCCTGACTTCAACTGTGGAGTCGTCCATATTCGGTGCCTTAACTACCACAGCTCCTGCTGGCCCATCTAGCCTAGTATTTTATATTGAGATTTAACAAATACTGGATTGAAAAAAAAAAAAAAAGATTATGGCAGTGGGTATTTTTAAAAAATATATTTATTTATTCATTCATTTATTTTTTAATTTGACCAGAGCGAGACAGAGCATGAGAGTGAGAAAGTGAGAAAGCAAGCCACCAGGTCCAGGACTTGAACCCCAGTTGGCCATGTGGGAGTGTCCAGTGCAGTGCCTTAACCACCACGCCACCCGCTGGTCCCCGGCAGTGGGTATTTTAACAAATCTTGGGACTGGGAACCAGCAGTTAGCGTAATGGCTATGTCACTGGACTCCCACGTAGTCGACCACGGTTCTCATCCTGGACCCGGTGGCTTAAAACTCACGCCGGGCGTGTGTGCGTGCATGCCCAAGATCCTGAGAGGAGAATGGAGAAGGGATTGTGACATGACCATCCCCCCTGGGGGGGTGATTTCTCACTTTCTGTCTCTATGTCTCTGTCTGGCGAGTGCACGCGCCGCGCCCTATAGAGAAAACCTCTCCAAAAAAGAAAAGAAAAATCTTGGGACCAGCAGATGGCACAATGGTTATGTTGCTAGACTCCCATGTAATCAACTGCAGTTTGAACTCCAGACCTAGTGGCCTGAAATTTACTGTGGGGTAATCTCTCGCTTTCAGCCTCTCTCTGGTGAATGCACACATCCTACAGCAAAAATCTCTCTTAAAAAAATACTGATTAATACAAAAACACATTTCAAGAGCATGAGAAATTTACAGGTGATACTATATCCCCCATTCCACTGCTCAGTCTTCCTTACAAAAAAGTAAATCATAGAAAAAGCTAAGTTGTTGGTCATTGTGGGAACTGGGAATATAATTCCACATTGTTGATACAGCCAGAAAGTAATTTAACATTACTTCCAGATTTAGATATCCAATGTTGAAGTCTAAAAGCACTCTCACGGGTTAACTGTACACAACTATGGGGACAATGATGAAGATGGTTAAGCAAGACTGGTGATCTTTATTTGTGGTGCCAAAAAAATGCTTCAATTCAGTACTTATACCTGCAATTAATGGTGACCCTTCTTTTTGCAGAGTAAGAAGACATAAAATCTGAAAAGAAAACTGGAAGAGATGAGGACAGAGAGGCAGTGTTGAGAATCCAGTCACTGCCAGCTGCTATATGCCCCCCCTGTTTCAGCAAGGATAGACCGGCCAAAATTCTGGACTGCTTTCCTTACTGACTTGAACAGTGCAATTTTCCTCTGAAAATCTTGTCAACGGTTACATCTCATGGTACATATTAAAAATCAGCTATGATAACAAAATCACATTTTTTAGAAGAAATGTACATAATACATTTGGAATCACTGATTGCTTTTTCTTTGTCTTTTTTCCCCCGTTTAGGTATTTGAGTCTCTTGTGTTTCTTCCTTTACACTGGATACAGGCTGTTTGAAAACAATTTCATTATCTTTATCATCATCATTCATTTCAGCCACTTCAGATTTTCGTTTCTCCAAAAATGTTGGTGTACAAACTGGTGTGGGGCCCTGGATTCAAGAAATAAGAAATTGTAATACATAAATATAGAGCTGTATTAGGAAAAACATCACCTCTGGTCTATTTTTACAAGTTGTACCATGTTACTTTAGATCTGTTTCCATCTTCTGATAATACAATTTCGATAATAAGGAACTTAGGTGGTTATCATACTTAGTTTAGAAACTCTGAATTAACTGTAATATTATATGCTCCATTATAAGCTTTTACGTAGAAACTGCTATAACATGGGGCTGGCAAGTGGCATGGTGGTTGAGGGCACTGGACTCCCACATGGCCGACTATGGTTCAAGTCCTGAACCTGATGGCTTGCTTTCTTACTTTCTCTGTCCCTCTCTGGTCAAATAAAAATAAATGAATAAATAAATAAAAAATAATTCTTAAAAAAAAAAAATTGCTAAATTACCACTAAAAATCTACCAAAAATGACACAAAAATCAAATCAATGTAAGCAACAGTAGCAGAAACTGCTTTGCTTTTTTCAAATTAGTTTTACGATATCTGGTGCCCAGAATATTGATAATTTTACCTGGCTATCCACAGTCTTCTCAGGAGTGTTAGGGGTGCTTGAAACCTTTTTCTTCTTCTTAGGTAAAACCTTCAAATAAATTTTGATATATTTTTTATCAATTTGCATATTTATCAGCTATTGTAGTCTTAAATGTATTTTCCTATTTATCTTCCTCTAATATCTAGCATTTAACACAAATAAAATTTTTACCTGGCTTTTTGTAGATTTCTGAAGATCAGTGTCTAAAAGCTTTTTCCCCTTTTTCTGTATAATCTTAAATAAAAATAAAAAGTTATAAATTGGCAGTCTCAACATCCTGACTTTTTTAAACTTACCATTAGATCCTCACACATGGTAAATTCTTCCTAAATGACAGAGTATTTAAAAAACAAAACCCATAAATATAAAGAATAATCTCAAGTAAAGGTCAAAATCAGAAAAGGGGCCTGAGGAACTGGCAAGAACTGCAGAGATTTAAGAGCAGGGCAAACCCTGGAGCTGATTCATAAAATCCTGCATTCATCGAGGCAGAACTAGGAAGGATATGAGAAGGTGGGTCCTGGGGGCCTGACCTGGTCGAGTTCAGCTCTGTGGCAATGAAGCCCATTGACTTTTCTCCTAAATAATCAACAGGACAGAGAAAAAGCAGTGCTTGCACACCCATTTCCAAGCTTCCCTGTCCCAATTCCCAAATAGCTCACCAGAGTGCCAGGGTCTAAGGCCTTGACACGTGTCCCAGTGCTGTTAAAGGCTCTGGGGTCTGGGCAAAGAACAAATGTCCAGGAACTGAGGCAAAGAAAGACAATTCAAATTTCTAATTTCTGGGTAAAGATGAAAGAGCTAATGAAACTTGGGAATATATACCATCCCTTACCAACTAATTATTTGAAAATAAGCTGACAGGGACTCAGGAAGATAGAAAACAATCTCAAGATGGAGTCAAGAATAGAAAAAAAGACCTTCGCCCATACTACCCACATTCTAAAGACCTGAATTCTTATTTTGTAGTAAAAAACATATAGCTCTTCTTACTTTGAGGTAGATTCATTAAGATTCATTCATTATTCTTTTAAGCAAGGAAGAACTGGATGAACATCTGTGCTAAATTATGTTCATGTACATAGCCTTGCAGTATTTTAATCCCTGCTCATTTAATTTACAGAAGCAGTGCCCACTCAGCTGGCCCCACAGCTCAGTGGTTAAGGGACTCGAATGCCACAAGGCCCACTGTGGTGTGAATCCTGGCCCTGGCAGTTTGAGAAACACAAGAGGGACTTGTGCATGTATGCCCTCAATCCTGACAGGATAGAGAAAAGCAGAAGGGACTGTGATATGATCATATTCCACCATGGGTACTTGCCTCTTACTCCTCCTCTCTGGTGAACCCATGTACTCTGACAATTGGGAAGAAAAAAAAAAGGTGCTTACTGGCTAATTCTATTTTAATATTCCCAGGTTAAAAGAATATGGACTGGGACCAGCAGCTGTTGTAATGGCTATATCAACCACAGTTCAAGTCCTGGACCAGTGGCTTAAATTCATGCCAGAGGCATGTATGCATGCCTGAGATCCCGAGAGGAGAAAGGAGGAGAAGCGACTGGGGTGTGGCCATCTCCCCTGGGGGATGATTTCTCACTCTTTGTCTCTCTCTTTTTGGTGAGCGCATGTGTCCCATAGCAACTCTCCCCGCCCCCCCCGCCCCCAAAAAAGAATATGGACCATTTTAACTAGAATGGCAAAAAAGTAAAAAAGGATGGTTAAGTAAGATCTTGATAGTAATATCACCTTTAAGGGTAATCTAAGAGTATTACAATATGGTTAAATAGTTGTTTATAAGACCAGCAGGGCATGGTGGTTGGGGTGCTGGACTCCCATGGCTATTCAGTTTGAGTCTTGGACCTGGTGGATGGCTTTCTCACTTTTTCTCTCTCTCTCCTTGGTCAAATAAAAAAATAAATAAATAAAAAAAATATCCTAAAATTTTTTTTAAAAAGTGGTTTAACGTCAATAACTTGCTTGCTTACAAGCTTTTAGGAGGGACCTACAATGCAATGTTTCCAGAAATCAGTCAAAACCTAATATGTGATAAGCACTAGATATCTTATATAAAGACGAAGATATACGTAAATAGGAAAAAAGTCCACCCCATCATAAAGTCACACACACATAAAATCATTTCATGAAGGAATATTTACCAAGGAAGGAAAATTATAGTCAATTCCTTTTTTAGCTAATCTACTCCTGAGTAATTTTTCTTTCCTCTTAAAACGCTTCTCCATCCGTTGCTTTTGTAGAGGTGTCCGATCTTTATTATATCGTTTCACTGCTGGGTATGATGGCTGCTGAAATGGAGTATTCCAGTTTCTGAAAAGTTCTTTATGTACTTTTTCGGGTGGTACAAAATGACCTATTATAAAAGGTAAAGAAGAGGTTTTCAACAAAATGGTAAAGAAAGGATTTTAATGTAACTTGAGCATCTACCCAGTGCTACTCTTTGCACCATAACCAAGATGACGATGCTAATCTCCCATCAGAGTGAAAAGGGTCAGTTCTACCCAACGTATTCAAAGCATTAGTACAGAAGCAACAAACTCTACAATTTAGAACTCTTTTAGTTACTTCTCACAAGGAAGTCAGAGCACAGTGCTGATCTGGCATATGTGAAACACCCCTCAGGTCACCCAGTCAACCCATTTCCTCCCGCCAAGAGCTGTGCTTTAAATGTGAGAATGAACCTATGAACTCAACCAGGCTACTTGGATTCTTTCTCACAATAATAGTACCTGGAACAGGAAGATGCTACTAAAGGGCTGGCCCTATAGCTTAGTAGTTAAGGGAATCGGATGCCACATAGTTGACCATGGTTCAAATTCCAGTTCCAGTGGCCTGAAAAACAAGCCAAGTGTGTGCTCTAAATCCTGACAGGGTAGAGAAATGGAAGAGAAGGAATGGTGACCATGACCCACCAGGTGGGATGCCTTCTCCCTCCCTGTCTGGTAAGTGCACGTGCCCTCTGGCAATTAAAAAACAAATTTCAATTAGTACCTGCCTAGAAAATACACTTAAATTTTCTTTGTACCATTTCTTAAGAGAATTATCCCCAAAATGAAACACTAAGCCCTCTGGCCTTTGCCTCACAGTCCGCCCCCCTCCAGCAGCAGGGTGCAAGGAACCCTGGGGATTAAGACTAGAGCAAGGAGGACCAGCAGGTGGTGTGGTGGTTAAAGGCACTGGACACTCCCACATGGCTGGCCACTGTTGGGAGACCTGGACCTGGTGATTTGTTTTCTTACGTTCCCTCTCCCTCTCATTCTGGTCAAATTAAAATAAATGAATAAATAAAATTAAATAATTCTTAAAAAAAAAATATCGACTAGAGTACTTACACTTCAGGAGTCTGTTACCAAACAGGTAGTTGTTCATGGTTTCAGCAACGATCTTGGCGACATCGTCAGATTCAAACTCTATAAAGGCATAGCCTCTGCTGTTTCCAGTCTGCAATGGAAAATTCACAAGAACTAAAACAACTAAACTCTAATGTGTCAACAAATTCCTAAAATGCTATTAATTTAAATAATGTACATTAGTCCCTTACCAAATATCTTTGACACCTTTAGTTCAACCTCAACTCACATATTCTAAGGATTGTTATGAGAAAAAGAAAAGATACAAAATAGTCTGAGCATGCAGGTGATGGCCCAGTGGCCATCTACCCATTTTCTATTTCATTAGTGTAAAGATGTACTATTTATATATTCATAATTCCCAGGGCATAGTATGATGCTTCAAAAGAGACAATATAATTCCAATTTCATATCTAAGTAACCAGATACTGACCCTTCTATGTCCCCCAAAACTAATAAAACACACGGTGCTCATTTCAACGTTTAGCAGTACTGTCCACTTTCATTGCTGGGGGCAAATGAACATTCTCTGAAAAACATGACCTAAATTCCATGCCACACCACGAAGCACAACAGATTTTTTCACATGTCTTACCAACGTGGGTATGAGTTATAAAAACCACATGTCCGTTTTTGAATCCTGGCTCTGACACTTAATTGGGTAAACAATGTTTAAGTCTCAGTTTTTCATTCCGCAAAATGGCAATGATAAGGGACCAGCAGTTAGCGTAATGGCTATGTCGCTGAACTCAAGTCCTGGACCTGGTGTCTTAAACTCATGCTGGGCGCGTTTGCACGCATGCCCAAGATCCCAAGAGGAGAATGGAGGAGATGGGATTGTGATGTGGTCATCCCCCCTGGGGGGTGATTTCTGGGACCAGCAGTTAGTGTAATGGCTATGTTGCTGGACTCCCATGTAGTTGACTGTGGTTCGAGTCCTGGACCTGGTGTCTTAAAACTCACGCCGGGTGCGTGGGCATGTATGCCCAAGATCCCAAGAGGAGAATAGAGGAGAAAGGATTGCAGCGTGGCCGTCCCCTCTTGGGGGTGATTTCTCGCTTTCTGTCTCTCTGGCGAGTGCACATGCCCACAACAAAAAACAAAACAAAACAAAGAAAAACTCAAAAAAAAAAAAAAAAAAAAGTTATGATAAAATAACCATTTTCAGGCTTGGTAATCCATAAATATTCAACAAAATATCTGTCAAATACTCAGTAAGTGTTACCAATATTTAACAATCTTGACATACATGAAATAATTTTGAAAATGAATCAAAATTGGTGATCTGATTCTAGAAATAAGAAACTACTTAAAAGTCACATGGCTTAACAGAGTGGGAGTCAGGAGGCTCATTTCTAGACCAGCTGTGCCATTTTAAACAATCTGGACAGTCATGCAACTCTGAATCTCAGTTTAGTTGTCCGCAACAGGTGACTTTGGTAAAATTAAGATGCTTGGGGACCAGCAGATGGTGTAATGGTTATGGTGCTAGACTCCTACACGGTCGACCATGGTTCAAGTCCCAGACCTGGAGCTTTGAAATGCAGAGCATGTGTGCATGCATACCCAAGATCTCAAGATAGAAACAGAGAAGAGACTATGACATGGGCCATTCTACCAGGTGGTGATTTCTCGCTTTGTTTCTCTAGTGAGTGCATATGTCCTATAGCAATGCTCTCTCTCAAAAAAAAAAAAAAAAAAAAAAAAAAAAAAAATTCATGCTTGAAAGTCTATTTATAATTCTAACTCTTGAGAGGGACAAGAAAGGTAGTGGCATAGAAGAAACATCATAAAACCCAATTCAATGTACCTTTACTGGAAAGTGACATAAAGCTTCTGAAAAGTGACATAAAAATATATACTGTGTCAAAAAGCAAGCATACCCAAACTCCCAAACAAAGTAAACCCCACAAAAACAGTCAATCCTGCAGTAGTAAATAAGCCCTTTGAATTTGACCAGGTCCTACTTGGGGGGCATTTTCTATCTGGCAAGTACACATGTCCTCTGGCAATTAAAAACAACGACGACAACAAAACAAACAAAAAAACCCCAACAACTCTTACCTAATAATGCCAGAATGCTGGAAATACCAAGCAAATAGTCAAAACAGGTGGAGTGGAGAGGGCTTTACTGTTTAACAATTTTGGAAATGAACAATACTGGAGATGGTAAATTTTAGTGCTTCTCTTCTATGAGGGGGCCTCCTACATGCCAAGAGGCCTGAACATTTCACAAAAGCCAATTAACAACAAAGAATAAGGAGATACTGTCGTAGATAGGCAAAGAACTGTAATACCACCTGCAAGACCTTGACTGAAACCCAGAACAGGGAGAAAATAAACAGCTTAAGATATTTTGGGACAACTGGGGATATGAAGATGGTCCATTATATACTGTTTTACTATGGGAAAGGGAAGAAGACTGAAGATGGGTACCAAAAAAACCTCAAGTCTACCTAAAATCTATTTTTTAAACAATGAAGAGCTGAATCAAGTACAATGACATCAAATCGGCATTTGAGTAGTGGAAAGCTAGGTAGTCACTAAGATATATTCTCTAACAGGAGCCTTATGATGGTACAGTGATAATGCAACTGAACCCACATGAGAAGGTCCCTGGTTCATGCCCTGGGCCTCCCAGAACATGCTGGGCTGGCTGGGGATGGATCATAACCTGAAGACTCTGTTGCGGGGGTGTGGTGGTTAAAGGTGCGGGGGTGTGGTGGTTAAAGGTGCTGGATTCCCACATGGCCAAGTGTGGTTTGAGTCCCAGACCTGGCGGCCAGCTTTCTTATTTTTCCTTTCTCTCTACATCTGGCCAAATAAAAATAAAAACAATAACAATAACAAATGGAATTAAATAAATAATTCTTGGGACCAGCAGTTAGCGTAATGGCTGTCGCTGGACTCCCACGTAGTCAACCGTGGTTCGCATCCAGGACCCAGTGGCTTACAACTCACGCCGGGCGCGTGTGCATGCATGCCCAAGATCCCGAGAAGAGAATGGAGGAGAAGAGATTGCGGCGTGACCATCCCTCCGGGGGTGATTTCTCACTTTCTGTTTCTATGCCTCTCTCTTGTCTGTCTGGCGAGCGCACACGCCCTATAGCAAAAATCTCTCCAAAAAGAAAAGAAAAGAGAAATTCCAGAGATTCCTCATGGCTCCTGTGAACTAGTGATTCCAGGGTAAGAGAAATGAAGGTTTCCTACTGATAATTCATCCTCCAGCAAACAAGCTAGAGTGGCAGGAGAGGGGAGAGGCAGGCCTTCAGAAGATTCCTCATGGCTCCTGTGAACTAGTGATTCCAGGGTAAGAGAAATGAAGGTTTCCTACTGATAATTCATCCTCCAGCAAACAAGCTAGAGTGGTAAGGAGCTCCTCTAGCCTCCTATCTCTGTCTCTGTCCCTGTCCCTCCCTGCTTCTGTCTTCTTTTTTTGGTAATTTTTACTTTTTAAAATTTTTTAACGGTAACGTTTTCTCTTGTTCTCAGCTCCACCTTTTGTTTGGTTAATATTTAATAATCCGCTCTGCTCCTCCCACCCAGGCAGGCGAGGCGAGAGGCAGGCCTTCAGGAGAAGATTCCTCAAGGCTCCTGCAAACCAGTGATTTTGCACAGCGTGGCTTTCTATTTTGTGCTTTTTTATTTTTAAAGAAAAATAATAATTATAAATTTTTTAAAATTTTTTTCCTTCCTTATTTTTTTTTCCCTTTTCCTTTGTTGTTGTTTCTCTCTTTTTCGTTTCCTTTTATCTCGTCTCTCCACACCTCAATATCCACTTACTGTGTTTCTAGATGGATCTAAGGGCACTGTAGCTAAACATCCAAATAATTATTAGGGTTAACATATTCCTCAATATCTACTGAATCTGCTGCACAAAACGATCACAACAGAACGGAAAAGAGAGTCCAGATCACCTCTTTCTGCTTGCTCCTGAATGTTCAGATTGAACTTCAAGAATTAGGAAGAAACAAACCACCTGTAAGATGACTAGAAATCACAGCAGGACCACAAGAAATATGGGAAAGCAAGAAAAATACCTCTCCTCCAAGGGAAAAGAATAAAACCTCTTCATCTGCAAGCAGTTCAATGGAAATCATGGGAATATCTGATCAAGAATTTAGAACATTCACAAGGGTAAAGCTAACAGAGATGGAAGAGAAGAGAGACAACGAACTGCTAAAGAGAAAGGAGAAAGAAGTTGACGAGTTCCAGGAGGTGAGGAAATTCTTGCAAGATCTAAAAGAGGAATTATACACTTTAATAGACATGAAGGCTATAATACAGGAAGTCAAAATCTCCCTTGAGGGAACCAGCAGTTAGCGTAATGGCTATGTCATTGGACGCCCAGGTAGTTGACTGCAGTTCGCGTCCTGGACCCAGTGGCTTAAAACTCACGCTGGACACATGTGTGTGCGTGCCCAAGATCCCGAGAGGAGAATGGAGGAGAAGGGATTGTGACGTGACCATCCCCCCGGGGGGTGATTTCTCGCTTTCTGTCTCTACGTCTCTGTCTGTCTGGCAAGCGCACGCGCCCTATAGCGAAAACCTCTCCCCCCCCCAAAAAAAACACTCCCTTGAAAGTATTAAAAGCAGACTAGATCATATAGAAAATAGAATCTCAGACATAGAAAATTGCTGACCTAGAAAAATCTTCCACGAAGACTGAGAAAATTGCCCCCAAAATGAGATTAATATACAAGAAGTACTAGATACAAACATCCAAACATCTGGATAACTGGCATTTCAGAAGGTGAAGAGACTCATAAGGGCATTTATAATCTATACCTTGAAACCCTACAAGAAAACTTTCCAAACCTAGAGAGGCACTCAAAGATCCAGTCCCGGGAACCAGCAGTTAGCGTAATGGCTATGTCGCTGGACTCCCACGTAGTCGACCGCGGTTCGTGTCCCAGACCCGGTGGCTTAAAACTCACGCCGGGCGCGTGTGCGTGTGTGCCCAAGATCCCAAGAGGAGAATGGAGGGGAAGGGATTGCGGCGTGACCATCCCCCCTGGGGGGTGATTTCTTGCTTTCTGTCTCTATGTCTCTCTCTGTCTGTCTGGCGAGCACACGCGCCCTACAGTGAAAATCTCTAAAAAAAAAAAAAAAAATCACTGCATATGTCTTAGGTCATTAAAACTTTCCATATTATTATAGTTTCAAACCCAGCCCTTCACTCTGCCTTCATTTTCACAGCATGAGAAGCTTTTTGATTCTAAGTTATAGTTCCCATTTTTGTTTTTATTTTATAGCATCCCTATAAAGTAGAAGTGTTCAGTTGAGGAAACTGAGGCCCAGAAAAATTACGACTTTGCTTCAGGTCACACAGTGGTCATTGTAAAACTAAATTTAGCACCAAGAGGCCTGGCTATAAGCCCATTTTACAGAATTTTAACAGACCTACAAAACCGTATCATTCAGTATTACTTTAAAGTAAGAATGAAGAGAGACTGTGGAGATTACCAAGTTTGGGTATTTCAAAGATAAAAGAAATGCTCTAAATGAATGTGGGATAAATTCAATAACATAAAATAATCAAGTTTCTTTACCACAAGACTTTGAAGGGCTATTAGAACACTAATGGTTTTCTCTAAGTGTAGCTGTAGAGGATATTGAGTACATTTTTGTCCAGATTTGCTTGATCACACAACTCTTCTGAGCATTGCTGTGTCTTGCCAAGCACACTTTGGGAAACACTTATCTAAGCCAGATCTATTACTATGTAAAACAGGAAACTTAAGCATGGAGAAATGGAATGATTTATCCAAGGTTACTCTACTGGTTAGTAAATGATACCAGAGAGCAGGGGGAAGAGGATAAAAGCTCATAGAACAGCATTGCTCAAATGTATTTGAAAAATAAGCAGCATATTTTATAGCCTGTATAATGCTAATGAGAAAAAGGTTCCCATCGATAAAACCAAATAAGGAGTAATGAGCTATATATGTGACTTTTAAAAATATTTTAAAAGATGACTATTATCATTAAATGGGCAGACAGAAAACCCTGAAACAGATTATGGCAACACTGATCCTACTTTTGTGTTAAATACCCATTAGACATCTGGAAATGCAAAGGAGTAGCTTTTTTATAGCATGACTTTACTCTCACATGTAAATTATTTAATAATATACACGCTGCTGTAAACTCACGATTTCTTTATTCAAGCTTGCCGAAGCGGGTAGGGTCTTCGAGATCTCTTAATCTAAGTTTTACTCATTTTTTCAGATATGGGATCTAAGTCCTGGTCATGTCAAGTGCAAGGTCAAACAACTAATTCATGGCAGCATGAGGCTGAGACCCCAGGTCTCCATATTTCCACAGCAAAGTACTTCAGATCTTGTGTGAGTGTCTGTGTAACAAAGCCAAATTACTGGAGTTGGCTCACAGGGTGCCACATTTTACTCTGATTTAAATTCCCTTTGTTTTTCTAGGAAAGAGGATGATTCTGAAATAAGATGGCTTGTTATTCTTTGGCAGACAGTGTCCCTGTTCCATTGATGCAGAAAATGAAGACTGTGGTTCCACCTTCTGCTTAGGGTAACAGGTAAAGTATAGCTGCTTACTGCAGGCAGGGTTCATTAGCCAAGAATTCCTGTCTAAGAAACATTTCCATATAGATCCTACTTACCCCTTTTCTAAAGGAATAGTATCCCTTCTTTAGTCACTCATGGATGTCATCTGTGTTTCAAAGCATAAATAAGACCAATCATCAAAAGAATTATGATGATTGTCTAACTCAGAATTTAAGAACAGCAGATGACAGATTTAGCTCCTCTTTATAATATATGGTGAAGAGAAATATTGAAATAGGGGTAAAAAAAATACTAGAAACTAGAAATGGAAAATTTTTGGAAATAACATGCATGATTAAGCCACTATGCAGTATATTCTGGATGGGAAATTAAAACAAAACAACTACAACTGCTTCTCTTGAAATAAAAAAAAAATGCATTCAAAATACCTATTTGATGACTGCAGGAAGATATATAGCCCCAGTCAGGTGCTACTTTATAGGATGTTCATTCTACTCACTGAGGCTTATGCCTAAAGTTGCACTTGTGCTTGCTATGAAAATATTTAGATTAATTAAGATCTTTAGTGACTCAATAAAATGTGGGGAGAAAAAAGTATAGAAAGTAAACATAGATACCAGAGACAGTGTGGGAGGAGAGTGGGAGATAACAGAGGGTAAGAGATAGGGAATCAAGGATGGGGAAAAAAAAAAGCAAAACATACAGGAAACAAGAAATAGAAAATTATTTGTTGACAATAACATGTACGTTGATGTGCTTGATTGGAGCCAATATACAGTGAATGAATATAAATAAATAAATTTAAATTAAAAAAAAAAAGAGGAAAAGAAAAGAGAAATTCCAGTAAGATGTCTATGGCTACAACTAATAAAGGTGTATATGTTGGGAAAGAAAATAATGTGGGTTACTTTTCCTATTTCTGAAAAACGACATACACTTTTTTAAACTAGAAGGTAAGTGTAACAGAAACCCTTAAATGCTGTTTGCTGTGTGTCAGACAATGCTCTAAGAACCTTATTATTACTTCATTTAATGATCTGACTACTCCTAGAAAGTTGGTGTTACTTTACTCATGTTTTACAAATAAGAAAACTAAAGCACACAGATTTTATAACATATCCAAGGTGAGGTAACTGGTGAGTTGAAGGGCCAGGCCTCAATCCTAGATAGTCCAGCTCAGAGTCCTTAACCATTCACCATACAAAGTTTTGCTATTACAGGGAAACTTGTACTAGAAAGTAATACAAAAGGGGGCAGCAAGTGGTATGGGAATTAAGGTGGCTGGATCCCAAGTAGCCTATTGTGAGGGTTTGACTCCAGACCCAGTGGCCTTAGAAACATCCCAGGTGTGTGTACATGTGCCCAAAATCCTGAAAGAAGAACGGAGGAAAAGGGATTGTGGTATGGCCATCCCCCTCAAGGTGGTGGTGCTGATTTCTCACTTTCTCTCTGTTTCGGGGATATTACTTCAGCAAAACAAACATTTATAGTAATACTTAGGGCCAGCAGGTGGCATGATGGTTGAGGCTCTGGACTCCCACAGGGCCTGCCATTATTGAGTCCCAGGAACCTGGCAACTTGTTTTCTCACTGCCCCTCTACTCAACCATCCCCATTTCTCTATGGTGAGCACATATTCCCTATAGCAAATTAAAAAATAATAATAATAATAATAAATAAATATTTACTATAATGCTGATTTTTCTCTCGTGGCTTTTCAGAGTCTAAACCTCATCTACTTCCCATTCTGGAGTGAAATATAACAAGCAACAATAAAAGAACATGTCTGTAAAGTGTGAAGGCTGATATACACTCGGAAAACAAAACACTGCGAACATCTTACCCTTTTACTTCTGGACAGTCTAAATCTTGTAATAGTGCCAAACTGAGAGAAATATGCTTTGATCTGGGTTTCATAAAGTGCGCTAGGTAGGTGGCCCACGTAGATTACTCCAGGAGTAAGTTTTCCTTGTTCTCGTTGCTAAAGATAATAAAGACCAGGTAAATAAATATTATTTCATTAGAAAATCACATTGCAACAAAACCTGTGATCCTCCTAGCCCTTAGTCCAGGAACCTACCTCGTATTTCCACAGATCACAGTAGTACTTGATCAGTAAGAATGAAGTGCTTAATGTCTACCTCCCCACAAGTACAATCCTGAGGCAGCTGATGGTCTTTGCAGCCTTGAAGCCCAGCACCATTTAAATGTCCATTAACTACAGCTGAATGAATAAAATCTTTGAACGAGTCATCTAAAAATCTTCTGTCTAGAGAACTCCATATAAATGTACCTTCAATTTTTTAAGTAGGTCTCTCTTTACTCACACCTAACCAACAATTTTGCGAACCTTAACCTTCACAATGCAGATGACCCTTTCAGCATCTCAATCACACTCTTACTGGCTGTAACAAGAACTTTCACATTTTCCACAGTATAGTGATATTAAAAACCAAAGAGCCGGGGGATGGGATGGGAGGTGCTCAGAAAAGATGTTTAATAGATAGAAGAGTACAAATAAACAAGGAATATAGGAGGCTCGTTAGTGTGGCCATTAAGGCAGTTGGATTCTGTAACCGACTTAAATGGTTCGGGAGTCCTAGACCTGGAGACTTGAAAAACAAGAGGGTGTGTGCATTAACATGCCTAAAATCCTGTGAAGAGAAAAGAAAAGGGAATGCGGTGTGGTCCTAGAGGGATGATTTTTCACCTTCCCTCTCTCTCTCCCTCTAGTGAGCATAGGTGCCTCATACGAAAAGTAAAGATTCAAAAACAACAAAAAACAAGGCAAATAGGTTATGGAATGGCATACCACAACACAGTTTTTAATAAAGGGGAGGGGGTGGGGATATACTGCCAATCTTACATATTTATTTTGAAAAAATCTAGTAAAACAAAAACTGAAATCACATATCACAAAGCAGTGTTCTCTGCTGAAAACGAATTTTTACGGTAATATCCTTGATTTATCACATACTGCAAGCATGCTGTGAAAAACCATATTGTATCCCACAAAGAGGCACATTTAAACGTGAATAACAACTTATTAGGATTTTGGGGAAGTCAATAGTTACAACGGATTTTCGACCACCACGGTGTGTGGGGAGGGGTCAGTATCCTTAACCCCTGCAGTGGTTCAAAGGTCAAATTATAAACTTGATTTCAGGGGCCCTAGTCAGCAAAACTTGGCAATACTGTCTCTGAGGAATTCCCAGTCACCAACCCGCATACAGACCTCCCCCCAGGGTGGACAGGTCTGGGGTCCCCGTTTCTAGGGGCAAAGCGGCAGGGAGGGAGACAGCTCTACAGTGCGGCACCGGAGTGCCATTCCCTCCCCACGGCTGGTTCTCCTCGTCTTCCAGATGAAGACCCCAATGCCCGAGCTGACAAACGCCATCATTATCTCCCGTTCAGCGTAAACCTCGGACTTCCTGCTCAGGATCAGAAGACTCAAGTATATGGAGGCAGCAGAAGCGTGGGGCGGCCCAGGAGCGGCCGGCGGGCGGGCGACCCGAGACCCCCAAGCCCGGTCCGCAGCCTCCCTTCGCCGGCTCGCTCAGCTTGGTAATGCGCGGGCGAACGTGCGCGACCTCCTTCTGAAACTTGGTATCTTCCTGCGGATTCAGCGACAGGAGCGGCCCCGCCGGGACAACTAGACCCGCCAGGCTGAAAGCTCCCAAACACAAGCGCTCCACGCGGCGCTCCCGGAAATCACCGACCCTCAGCTCTTCGGAAGCGGAGGTAGGGGCGGGTGAAGGCGGGGCGGGGCCGGGCGAGCTCCCGCGCCCCCTGCTGGCTGGACCGCGCTTTCTCTAGGTCTCACCTCCTCCACCTGTCCGAAAGTCCCCACCTATGTTCTCCCATATTTTCAATGGGTTTATTAAAAATAGAGGCCGGGAGACCAGCAGATGACGTAATGTTTACGTCGCTGGACTCTCACGTAGTCGATCGCGAGGACCCCAAGTCTTCGAGTCCCAAGGACCCCAAGATCTGCGGAAGAGAAGAGATTGGGGGGTGATTTCTCGCTTTCTGTCTGTCCTGGGAGCGCAGGGAGAACAGCCCCCTAAGTGGTTAATAACCGAAGGCTTCTCAAGGCCTTTCAAATTTGAGTGAAGAGAACGGTTGCCTCAAGGTAGATGGTGATTCAGTGGGTTCGGGGCAGGGCACCGGTTTTGATTTCTGCATTTTCTTTTTTTTCCAAATGCATAACATTTTATTGTCATTAAGTTCATAATATAAACACCTTTTCATCCTTGACAGCTGTTAACAATATATCCATGATGAAGCTGTGGACCAGGAGTTTCACTTTTTAGTGATTTCACAAGTAGCAGGTGCCGAGGTAGCTGGACGACATTAGTCTGCATATACAACAACTTTACAGTAGTTACACCAGAGGGCTTGGAATAGCGCTTCTCAAAGCTCAGTCTGAGAACGTGTTTTAAAAAGGCTATAACTGGGACCAGCAGTTAGTGTAATGGCCATGTCACTGGACTCCCATGTAGTCGACCGCAGTTTGAGTCCCGGACCTGGTGGCTTGAACTCACTCTGGGCATGTGTGCGTGCGTGCCCAGGATTCCGAGAGGAGAATGGAGAAGGGATTGCGGTGTGGCCATCCCCTGGGGGGGTTATTTCTTGCTTTCTGTCTGTCTTTCTCTCTCTCTCTGTCTCGGTCTTTCTGGCGACCACACATACCCTATAGCAAAAAACTCTCTCCCTCCCCCCCAAAAAGGCTATAACTAGAGATGGCTCTTTAGAAAATAGTGTTTGGAATTGGTTTCAACTACTGGGTCATAGTTGCTTTAGAATCATCAGTGGTGGGATCAGCAAGTGGTATGCAGGTTAAGGAAGCTGGATCCCACATGGCTGATTCCATGGTTCGAATCCCGGACCTAGCAGCTTGAAAAAAAAAATCAAACAGTGGTTTAAGCCCTGGACCTGGCAGTTTGAAAATCATGCCAGGTGCATGTGCATGCACTTAAAATCCTGAGGATGGAGGAGGGATTTTAGCATGTGCCCTATAAGGGGATGGGGGAACCAGTGGCATCCAGTGGCATCCCGAGGTTCCCGTCTCCCACTGAATCAATCTCAGGAGGGCAATCAAAGAGGCCTCTTTACTAGGTGTATCATCTTGGATATTCCCAACTTCCTACAAATACATAGTCTTACAGAAAAATAAGCTAGAATATTTCTGAATCAATGTTAAAATCTCTTGAATATGGTAAATATGAGAATATACTAATCATTATTTATGTTGTGGTGAGATTGTAAAGAATGCTTTTAAACTTGAAGAACATCTTTGAAGGTCTTTAAAACGTAATCTTTGCTCTCTAGTCAAGAGAGTCCTGGGGCCTTTGCAGTATTATTTAAATTTAAGTTGAATTGAATTAAATACAAATGTCACAAACTTCCATCTTCCGGGGAATGGTCCATTCATCTTAATTAAGGAAATATATAGAAACTACTCTGACTTAAGTCTTCATTCATGGTATGTGTGTCAGGACGTCTAGACAAACAGCAGGGTGAAAAGTTCTACCACCAGGGGAACCAGCAGTTAGCGTAATGGCTATGTCGCTGGACTCCCATGTAGTCGATCGCGGTTCGTGTCCCGGACCCGGTGGCTTAAAACTCACGCCGGGCGCGTGTGCTTGCGTGCCCAAGATCCCGAGAGGAGAATGGAGGAGAAGGGATTGCGGTGTGACCATCCTCCCTGGGGGGTGATTTCTCGCTTTCTGTCTCTATGTCTCTCTCTGTCTGTCTGGCAAGCGCACGCGCCCTACAGTGAAAATCTCTCCAAAAAAAAAAAAAAAGTTCTACCACCAGACCAACATTTTAAACCTGCTGAAAGCTAACTCCACTCCCCATCGAGCAGTTCAAAAGTGAGCTGCCAAAGTTTAGTCCCATCATTTTGACTCCAGATAATGTCATTTCCTTACAATCTATAACCTCAGGGGCTTGATGGCTCCCTGTTGGTGATCCAGGACCTAGGATTTCTTCCTTTGGATTCTTTCAGTTGGCCTGGGCGATTCTGGTGTCAGAACCATGGAAGTTCAACATTGTAGTCACCAGCTCTGGAAGATCAAAATCATGTTTCCACCCCCAGTCCTTCTGATCATTGCTGTCATCAAAGTTCATCGGCCAGCTGTCCACTATGGCCTGTCTAACAGCATCCACATTGTAAGTGATCTGGAATTCCGGCATGTGCTTGAGAAGCTCCTGGGCCAGCTCCTGGGGCCTGAAGCTCATGGTGTTTACATTGTAGGTCTGCATGGGGAGGGTCTCGGCTGGGGCCTCCATGACCTCCAGGGTGGCCCTGAGGCAGTCGTCAATGTACATCATGGGGAGCCTTGTGCCAGCCCTTAGGTTGCACTCAAATTTGCCAGTCTTTGTAGCATCGTGCAAAATCTGGACTGCATAGTCAGTTGTTCCTCCTCCAGGCTGGGAGTCAGCTGAAATGATTGCAGGCTATCTCAGGCACTGGAAATCCAGCCCATATCAGTAATAATAATAGTCACCCATGAGCTCTGCGTGGACCTTGGACACCCCATAGATGGTCCTGGGTCTCTGAATACAGCGATCAGGGGTTGGGTTCCAAGGAGAGGTAGGTCCAAAAGCCCTGATCGTACTGGGCACAAACAACCGCAGGTTGTGTTCTGCTACAACGTCCAGAATATTATGTAATCCTGTTATGTTCACAGCACTCGCTAAGGACATGTTTGCTTCTCCGACAGCACTGAGCAAAGCACTGTAATGAAACAGCCAGGTGATGCGGTTGTTGACCACGATCTCACGAAGACTCTTATAATCCAAGATATCAGAATAAATAAATGGGCCACTATGGAAGACATGATTAGGGGGTTTTCTTATGTCAGACAAAATCACATTGTCCTTCCCAAATCGTTTCCTCAGAAGGTTAGCAAGCCCTACTCTCAGCTGGCCGAGACACCCTGTAATTAAAACTCGTGGATGATTCGTTTCAGAGAAAGAGGCTGAGTGAAAGTTGGCATCTGTTGGTACTTGCTGAGGGGAGATACCCAGAAACTGGACTGGCAAGACAGACGCCCAACAGCCAGAAGCTGGGCTCTGTACCTTCTAGCCCACCGCATGCCTCAGCATCTTAATGATTAGCATTTTCTTTTCAAACACCTTCACACGCACCAGCCTGGTGATACTGTGAACGCAGCCCCAGAGCCTGGACCACCAGGTAGAGACTGACTGGGCGCAGCAGGCAGACCCATTTTCTTTTCTTTTTTTTTTTTTTTTGAAAGAGATTTTTTCCTATAGGGCACATGCAGTAGCTAGAGAGACAGACAGTGAGAAATCATCCTCTGGAGAGATGGCCACGCTGCAATCTCTTCTCCATTCTCCTCTTGGGTCCCTGGGCATACATGCACGTGCACCCAGCCTGAGTTTTAAGTTGCCAGGTCCAGGACTGGAACCTCAGTCAACTACATGGGAGTCCAGTGACATAACCATTATGCCATCTGCAAGTCTCTGATTTCTAACAAGCTTTCAGATGGGACTGATGCTTGATGGTCCACACATTTAAAGTAGAAATAGAGATTTGGGGCATTGATCACTGCACTGGGTTAAAGTCTGTTGCACTCCAAGAGATATGCTAAAGTCCTAATTCCTGGAACTTCGATAAATGTGAATGTGACCTTATTGGAAATAGTCTTGCAGCTATATTCAAAATTAAGATGAGGTCATGTTGGGTTAGTATAGGTAGGCCTTAATCCAATGACTTTTCTTTTTTTTGGAGAGGTTTTTGCTATAGGGCGTGTGCGTTCGCCAGCCAGAGAGAGGCAGAGAGATAGAAAGCGAGAAATCACCCCCCAGGGGGGATGGCCACGCCGCAATCCCTTCCCTCCATTCTCCTCTCGGGATCTTGGGCACGCATACACACACGCCTGGCATGAGTTTTAAGCCACTGGGTCCGGGACTGGAACCACGGTCGGCTACATGGGAGTTCAGCAACATAGCCATTATGCTAATTGCTGGTCCCACTTTTGGCCTTGTGAAAAGAGGGAAATCTGGACCCACACAGAGACAGGAGCCACATATGACCATGGCAGAAATTGGAGTGATGCACTTATGAGCTAAGAAACACCAGGGGTTCCTGGTGACTACTAGCAGCTAAGGAGAAGCAAGGAAGGATTTGCCCCTCGGGCCTTCTGAGAAAGAGCACAGCCTTTCCAGCACCTTAAACCTGATTTCTGGTATCCAGGGCTGTGAGGGATTGAGTTCCTATTGTTCTAAGCCTATTGGTTTGTGGTAATTTGTCTTGGCAACCTTAGGAAGCAAATACAGTGACCATGGTGGGTGCAGCCTGCATGGTTTACTAAAGCAAACTTTCCCTTGTTCCTTTTTTGGTGTGATGGGAGCCACCTGTTAGGGCAGGTCCTGGAGAAACTCATTCTGTATGGATGCTAGGCCACCCTCTCCTGCTTTCCCTTCCTTCCTGCCATTTTTGTAAGTAGAAGAGGCAGGCTACTGATACTTTGGGTGGATGGCTCTTTACTGAGTTGGACTGTTCTATTCACCTACCTTTGTACCCCATTCCTTAGCACTCAATGTCAAGGCCACTCCAGCCGTTTTAACAACTGGGTCTCCAGGCACTTCCACATACTGACTGTAGGGTGCTCAGTGTGTGTCACCCCTTCCCTTCCCCACTGACCACCCATGCCACCCCCATTAGTATCCACCATCACCACCTACATACTAGAACACCTGTTGGGGGAAACATGATGAGTAAAGGTGGCTGGGAAAAGTGGGGCTGGGAACAAGGCTGGGCAAGCAGCAGGCTAGGCAGGGTATGCTGAGTGTCCAGGTAGGAGAAGGCTTTTGGGGGTGAACTAAATGATGGCAGAAGGGACACAGGTGGCACTGGGAGGGACTGAGGGTCCCCCTCCTGCCTACCTTCCCTCTTGTTTGTTCCCACAGCTGTAAGCAGAGCTCCATCTAGCATCTCACACCTTTGAAGACCCTCATTCTGAATTAAGTGCCCAGACAAATCATCCAGGTACGGACTTGGCCCAGCCGAAAGCGAGAAATCACCCCCAGGGGGTATGGCCACACTGCAACCCCTTCTCCTCTATTCTCCTTTTGGGATCTTGGGCACACACTCCCGTGCCTGGCGTGAGTTTAAGCCACCAGGTCTGGGACTTGAACTGTGGTCGACTATATGGGAGTCCAGCAACCCAGCCGTTATGGTAACGGTCCCTAATCTGCTTTTAATAATTTCAAGGGAGGTTTCTTTTTTGTTTTGGAGAGGTTTTCACT